GAATCTAAGAGTGCTGATTGTTGATGAGTAACGTGTGTTCATGCAGCACAGAGTGTGGGAAGTGTGTAAGGATAAAATCAAATTTGCTTGACTTGCACTAAAAAATTCAAAGGAAAAGATTGTGTTGTAATGGTTTGTACTTTTTTTTTTAGTTACTTTTATTTTGATATGTCTTATGTTGTTCCAGACTACTATTATGAAAGCCTTTTGCGTTTTCTGTTTTTTTTGGTTTCCTCTTCCTTTTGTTCTCATTTTAATGAGTGATTTGGGTCTATTATTCATTGTCCATTTATTGCACTTGTACTTGACTGATCAGGTGAGTTTTCACAGTTTTGTCATCCCTTTGGTCATGATCTAATTTGATATTTAGGTCAGGTCACATTACCTTATTTTGAATGGGCCCAACTATATTATGAGTGGATCTAGTTTCGTTTTTGGTGTATTGTTGTTGATTTGGTTTGATTGCATCGAGTTTTGCACTTTATTGTGTGTCAAGCCTTATTTTCGTGAGAGGAAATCTTACAATATAAATGTATGTCATCCATTATAAACATAGAAGTTCAAGTCTGGGTAAAGAATCCCTTGATGTTTCTTGAATCATTAAACCTTTAAGACAACACAACATTGTCACATCAATGAATAAACACTAGGTTCTAATACATGTATATATTTTTAACATATATACATATTTCATATATCTGTTATGTTGTCTTTTTCTGTTGTCTTATTGTGTATTGTCATGATAGTCTTTAAATGGATTCTCAACTAAACTAAACTCAACCTGTGCCTTTTTACAGTGTACCTCATCATCGTCACACCACTGCACTGCCAGAAACAACTTCTGCATGAACGGACTCCAAACAACAATATAAATCTGCTTATTCCATTTTATCCCTATTTACAAATAGTAGGATCTACAGATCCTGAACAGAAAAGATTCACCCCACCTTTAAAATAATCACATTTTGTTGATTTGCAGCCTAAAATGAAGACGGACACAGTTTTTGTTTTATCCAGCTGTATTTTCTCAGTGTAACTTATAACATCCAAGTGAAAAATATAAATAAATAAATTAAATAAATAAATAAATAAATAAAAAAACATAATCACTAAGTTGGAAAATGGATCACCCCCCTCCTAAAAATAACTTGTAAACTCAATCAGGTGTCGCTAATCACCTTCTCAATGGCACACAAAGCCATTTGACTTTTAGCTGTGATCAGCAGTGATCATTTTGATGATCTCAGCATGAAAAAAGCTTTCCTGGACCATTTCAGTACTTGGTAGTGCAACTGAAGCAAACAATCAACTATAGGCGTCAAGGCACTGTCAAATTATCTCTGGGATAAAGTTGTGGACAGGCACACATCAGGAGATGGATACAAAAAAATAAAAAATAAATTCAAAGTCTATCAATGCCTAGATGCACAGTGAAGTATATTATTAAGAAGTGGAAGGTATTTGGTACAACACAGACCCTCCCTGGGTAAGGACGTTGCTCAAAACTGGATGAAAGAGCCAGGAGGAAACTGGTTAAAGAGGCTACTAAGAGGCCTACAGCAACTCTGAAGCAGTTGCAGGAATTGATGACAAAAAGTGGTCATTATGTGCATGTGACAACAATATCACAAATTCTCCACAAATGTGGCTTGTATTACCATAAATGTGTGGAAAACTGCCATTCAAATTTAATTGTTGATATCAAGAATTGAGTTCTTACTTGTTGATGCAGAAATACAATTCTTACTAGTAAAAACCTTTATTTTTGATATCAGTAATCACATGGTTTATTAAACTGCTGGGTCATTATTCATATCAATTACATGCTAATTTTCTCTGCATCCTAGAGAAACATATCTGGTTCTTACTCTCGTCTGCTGATTGGGAGTTTTACAAGTCCCAAAACGTAGGTTAAGTGAGGTCCCTTGCTTCCTCACATTCCTACTTTGAGGATAGCTAAAAATAATGGGCTATTAAGGCATTTTTAGGACTCTGAGTCAGATTTATGAGTACATTCACACTCAAATACCCTACTGCTCGCTCTCTCTCTCTTTTTTTTTTTTTTTTGCAGAGGTAGATGCCTCTGAGCTGCAGGTAGGGAGCTAAATTGAGTACACCTACTGTACTTGTATTGATTAATCCCAAAAAGTTATGTCAGCATAAATCCTCACCAGCATGATGGGTACAATTTTACATTACTTTGAGTGTGCTAAGATGATCTTTTTTTTTTTTTTTTTTTTTTTC